AGTCACCTCTTCACATTGCTCAATGGTCTCGCCGGCATCAAATATCGTAACCCATGAGATCACTTAATGACCCTGTGACCTCTTGACATTGATATAGCGTATCCTATTGCTCGATGAACCCACCTTCCTTCGCTCATGGTATAATTCTTCTCCTGCGGATTCCTCGCTTTTTATATTTTTCCGTAGTATATTGCGCAATACGTTTTATATTATATCCCTTTATGCCAATGTTACAATTATATTGCGTTACGGTATGTTACTTTACGTTAAACGGTATAATAATGTCGTTCCTTTGTGTATCTTTTATTTAGTTATTATTATATCCGCTTGTCACCTTGCGTTCGACCATATATGAATTATTTTGCGGCCATCTTGCGGTTTCACGAACGAGAGAATTACGAGATTACGAAGAGGGCACGAAATGAAAGATTTTCCAACTGGCCGTGGACGTCGAATGTTTTTTTTCTTCTTGTCGGTATTATCGATACGTCGATAATGTCCTTACGATCATTTTTCAAGTGATTGATAGACGCGATCGAAATACCCTTTGCGAGATATAAATTTTGCGGTTAACGATCGATCCCGAGGGAGTCGACGTTCGCAGGGCATTCTGGGTAACCAGAAGTTTACGGCCGACGCACAGATTTCGTGAAAGCGCAGGATGCCGCGTTTTTCTTTGACTTCCTTTCACAGTGCAGACCGAATTCATTGAATGATGTATCATTTTGATTATGGGTCATCGTAGAGCGAGGATGTCGCAGCGAACACTCTGATGATGTTAGACCACCAAGGCGGTAAGCTCTACCAAAAGGCATTACCTAACCTAGCTGGCTAAACGCCTCAATCTCTGCCTACCATAACCTTGTATCTCTATTATTTGTCTTTTCTTTTACCAACTTTCTCTCTCTCTCTCTCTCTCTCTCTCTCTCTCATTCTATATTTCTATTTCTCGTGAAGAAGGATGTCTGGTGGTGTAACTGTTGTACTTGCATATATTGCATAAAACCACCCTTACATCAACGCGATAAATCTAATCTACCTCTTGAACCCTAACTTAACCTCAATCCTCGTCTTCCAGTTACCTCTCCTAACGAAAAAAAAAAAAAGCTTTTCCAGGGGTGACGTGGAGTTCATAGTGGTGGAGTAACCAAGGACGGTTGCGTATATTGTGTGTATATATATATATATATATATATATTACAATACCGTCCTGATATATAGTCGTAGCAGAATACAGGATTTATGATGATAATGATAATCATAATAATATTAATAACATTAATAATGTTACATAAAATGTCCCTCGAAGATCTCGCGAATATCAATTTGTCTTTTCAGCCCACGACCCTTATTCCGACATTATTAAGTAATCACAGCTTGTTCAACATTTTATGCCAGGATAGGCAAGAAGCCCCTCTTCCCCCCGGCCACAAACGTCCGAGTAAAGTCCTCTTAGGGCGTAGGCCACTGCTTAATACCCCCCGCCCCCTCACCCTAGGCCACTTCCGATAAAGTTAACGCCCTTACAAATCGTCACCGGATAGGCCCTCTCGCTCGTTTCTGCCAATCATTTACCTATCCCCCATCTCCCTCCTTCCCGCTCTCTTTCTCAATGACTTATTAATCTCTCTATCTAGTCCTTGACTATCTAGACTACGTTTCGTATTAAAAAAAAAGATTGTCCTCCCTGACCTGTCGCAAGCTATGGATGACTGATATCCAGATCCAGGGTCATCATCATTGACCCTAGTTCTGAACGTGAACACGGTTGATCGGTCGAAGGATCTGAAATCGATAACGCGATAACGAGAATCGATAAGTGAACAATGTTAACTGGCATCGGTAACGAGCGAGGGTGGCGCCACGGTGGTAAAAAAAAGTGTTAACGCCTCTTATTGGTCGGTTGCCTGTTTAGAGCCATGAGGTCGGGATGAAAACCCTCGTAATGCTGGACGAGCAAGGCGGTAAGCCACAATCATCACCTAGATTAAATATCTAAGATTTAAAGAAAAAAAAAACAAAACGACTAGAGCTCAGCCGATACAAGCATTTAAATGACAAGTCGACACAACGCCGCGTCATCCCCACGACACTACTTGACCAATGTCCCGTGCAATCAGTTCCTGTGTGTCTCATTAATTGCAACTTGATTTCCCTTACTGTTGACCATGCCGTATGTCGAAATGACATTCCGGCTTGACGTGTTACCTAACCTAACCTTGACCTCATTTTTAACATCTTAACCACCTAACCACCCGAAAACAACGATCAGTCGCTGTTATTTATATATATATACTCTTAATATATACTATATATTCTGACGTACCCATCGTACTCTATACTGATCGGCAGTGCTGACACCTTATTGACCAATGCTTAGATCATATATGCATAATCGTCCCTGACACTGTTGTTTATACTATCCTATACTATACTATACTATACTATAATATACTATACTATACTGTATTATACTCTGTGTATCACTCCTTTCAATTATATACCATACTCCTATGTCGGTTACTCTATATACTTGATTATCTAAACGTTACTCTATACTCCGTGCATACAAACTGCATACAGAACTGCATATTATACCCTAGCTGTGTCTAACCTATGCACATCGTAACACTGTGATATGGCTGCTGACACGGGTTGCGAGAGAGAATGAGGTTAATGGAGGTTTGATCAAAAGGGAGTTTTTTTTTGTAATTTAAAGTTTTTCTGGTAGCCACTTGTAGGTGAGTTTGGAGATTACTTTGAGGATTTATATATATATACATATGAAAGTTCTCTTCTCGCTGTCCATGTCAGGCCTATTACTTTTGGAAATGCCTACGGTACATTCGCCATGCTTGTTTTATGTCTTTTATTTTGTTTTGCTTTTTCTTTTATATAATTATTTCATATAATTAACGTCACGTTTCCTGTATATTAATGCACTGATTTTTTTTTCTTCTTCGGCTCTTGTCTCATAACTTATTTAATTTCTATCCAGCATAATCGGACGTTTCCTTGCTGCTTTTTTTTTTGTTATCCGGATTCTGCGAATAGACCGTAGGCATATCCTCGTCCAACGTTCGGTACCATCTTGGGGTTTACTTTTTTTTTCATGACGCAATTTCTTATTTTACTTGGAACGCGAGGTCTAGTCTTATTTGAAATTTTATAACGTGGCAAAGGGAGGTTGAAGTGGGGAGGTCGGAGATGTATCGACGTTGGACGGTTTGGATACGTGTGGTTTTCAGTGTCTGTAAAACTTGCAAAATGATGGCGCGTCGACTTTTCACCGACGAGTTTGCCGCAGCCCTAGTGAAGATGCGGAATAAAGAAAGAGAGAGAAATCCAAAAAAAATATATAATAAAATAACGAGACAAAAAGAGAACAATGATATGTCGGAACCTCGTCGGAGAAGGAAGAGCCGTGCTTCGCGATCCAGGGTGGTTCGCGGGAACTATGAATGCGATTTGAAAAAAAAAAATTAACTTTCGCGCCAATTTAACATCGACGAATAGCCCAATGACGTCACTAAATTTCTTATCGATTCGCGAGATCTAACAGCTCACGGTTATATCTAATGACAATACATTTTTTTTTCTTGATAATTTTTCACAATCGACCACCCGGACGCATATCATCCTCGAGGTGCCCACCTCGAGGAATGGAGTCGAGACGAGGAGTGTCAAAGCCAGACCGATCGAAGAGTCAATCAATGAATTACTCGGTGGCTCAGTCAATAAATCAATTGACTGTTATTGTTGTAGTTATATATATTTTTTGTAGAAAAAAAAACACTTTACTCTTATTTCCCACAAAAACTTGACTTTGACCTCTGACCCTCATCTCGTACCTTGGTTGATAAGCAGTTCCCCGTGGTGATATCAATAACTGTGATCTTTGCCACTAAACAGAACAACTGGATCGAATCGAGGAGGGAATGGATCAGATCAACGCCGACATGCGGGAGGCTGAGAAGAATTTGACTGGAATGGAAAAATGCTGTGGACTATGCGTTCTCCCATGTAACAAGTAAGCCTGTAACATATGCCTGCATCGAAGCATTGTGCTTTTTCACTTACTTCATTAAATCAAAGAGGTTAACACGAAATAATAAAAATTTACAGGGGTGCAAGCTTCAAGGAAGACGAGGGCACGTGGAAGGGCAACGACGATGGAAAAGTCGTGAACAATCAGCCCCAGCGAGTGATGGACGAGCGTAACGGAATGGCCCCCGGAAGTGGATACATAGCCAAGATCACGAACGACGCGCGCGAAGGAGAGATGGAAGAGAACATGGGCCAGGTCAACACCATGATCGGTAACCTGAGAAACATGGCGATCGACATGGGCAGCGAGCTCGAGAATCAGAACCGACAGATCGACAGGATCAATCGCAAGGTAAACCAAAGCACGCAGCATCCTGGCTCAACCTGGATCTCCCCTGTTTCTCCTTGCCACGCCTCCACGATTCTCTATATTTATTATTATTATCATTATTATTATATTATAAACCTGTGCCGCTACGTCGCACGTGAATCGCTCGAGAGTGCGCGCGCACCAGCGAGATTTCCGGTTTGCTCGATCACAGCGAATATTATGGCCTGCGCCTTATAATCGACTGATATATGTGATTCTTCTCTAACTTCTTCTTGCAGTCTTGTTTGTTTATTGTATTTTCCATTGGCTACTTTAATTTCGTATCAGAACATACTTTCTCGTTCACTCTTCACTGTTTCTTGACGACGCGCACGGTAAGTCACCGCTTTCTGCACTCACTTGGCGCTCCTGTTCTCTCCGTAGGTCGCACCCGGTATACTCATACGATTAATCACTGACTTCACACTCAATCACCGAGTTACACACTCACTCGTTCACTTACTCGTCGAGTCATACATTCTCATAATGTAACAATATTTGTACGTATGTCTGCCTTGTGTCTGTCTGTTCTGTCTTTCTGTGCGTCTGTATGTCTCTGTACGTCTGTCAATCAGTGCCTACGAATTTCTCTTCTCTTTTCTATGCTCGTATAACAATGTCCTTGCGACATCGGCACTAAGAGACGAAGCTTCCAGGCCCAAGTTTACACATTCTTGTCACCCTGTAATCGTCTAATCCACCCTATCCGCAGGGCGAGTCAAACGAGACCAGGATAGCAGTGGCGAATCAGCGGGCTCACGCACTGCTCAAGTAAACTCCCACGACGCGGAGCTGCATTAAATCACCCCCTCATCTCCCTCTGTCTTATCTGCGTAACGCGTCTTCTCCTCTGCGCATCTTTTATTCGTGCGTGACTGTTGTGTGAATACAAGAGCGTCAAGCGCGTACCACCTCTCTTGCACTCCATTCGCTCGGAGGCTCCTTTAGCTTCGTTGTGTTCTTCCTAGTGACAGCGAAACAAGGGTGGCACGCGTTAACGCTGCTACCGATCAACACTTTTAAACATTATGGGTGCGGCGACGGTTTTTCGAAATCACGCGAAAGATTCATATTGGCTTGTTATTGATGTTTAATGAGAGCGAGAGAGAAGGGGCGGAAGAAGGAGAAGCGACGATTTCGAAAGGTCTCGCCACCGCATACTCTTATAACACACCTACGGATGAGAGCACGACAAGCCAAGCGGCGCACTGACCGTTAATTCGAGATAGACGTAAATTATAATTTAAAAAAGCGACACCTAGTGCTGCTGCTGCAGATACTGTTTTGCGTATACTCTGTATACGGTGAAATCAGAGTTTGGGAGAGAGAGAAGGAAAGTCAGTCTTAGATCGTTACGTTGCGGTGCGACGCGATGCGATGCGATACGTTGCGACGCAGTGCACTGGCCAAATAATATTTTAATTATCAATTATTAACAGAAACACGTACAATTCTTTCTGACACGCAGGGCGATTCGAACGAGACGAGGATACAGGTGGCCAACGAGCGGGCCCATCAACTGCTCAAATAAGTCTTCTTCCAACCGCCAACTCAGCACCACCACCACCACCATCACCACCACGATACACGTCTCTGCTACCATCACCTACACTTTATCAATTTTAATTAACGCTTATTTACTTAGTTAATTACGTACTTACTCACTCGTTTACTTATTTACCTAAGTTAACCTACCTGCCCGTCATTTTCAAATACGACCACCCTCTACCCGGGTCCACGGCAACCGTCTCTGGTTTGGCTTTACTCGTTATCGATTTATTACTCATCCATCAGATACGTTCGTGGGTTCTCACTCGTTATCGTTGCACGCGTCCCACCCTTATTACACTGTTCATCCCTTACAAAGTGTGAGTCCTCGTAGACCTTGTGAAACGGGACACCCATCCCCTTCACTTCTTTCTAATTACGACAATGTCTCTTTAGCGAGTTATCAATTAAATTAATTCACTGTGACTCCACGTCGGCTGATTCGATGCTTTGTTGGAAATTGGCGAATCGAACGTGAAGTAAAGAAAATGCAAAAAGAAAATAATCATAACGTACACATAACGGACCATGGCCATGGTTCTTCTTCTTGGTCCTAATTGGAATCCCACGTGGCTTAATTGACTCATTTGTCAGATACACATATACGCACAGAGCTAAATACATTCTGGATCAATGTACCTTTCTAACGATCCACCTTCGACTCGTCACTCTTTCAATTAATGGAACTCTCTGTCTCTGGCTGCCTGGTTCAATTTCAAGGGTCACTTAGTTAATTTTGCCTCTTATTGACATCATACAAATGGTACACAATACAGCCAATCGATCCAATCGCATTCTCCTTGATTCTCTGCTTCACGTTTCTCTTTCACCGTCGAAAAAAATAAAAATGTAAGAAACAGATACGTTACAGCACACCGAATACTTCTTCCATATATAAATGACACTCGATTGACAAAAAGAATCATGAACTACACCATTATTAGCTGACGTAAAAGAACAGACCGATAGAGATATAAGTATTAAAAGGATGGGCAGTACCATACAATATTTAAGCAGTATAATTATATTATTATAACACAACACCGAGAGTCATATATACGAAACACGACACAAGATCATAAGATGGTTTACGCGTTAAGAAACGTGCAATAGCCTTTACCGTATATATTCTATAACAAAGAAATAAGAGAAAAAAAATAGAGAAACAGCTTCTACTATGATCTAACGTCATTAAGGATACTTGTGAACAACGTACGTACATACCATGTATAACATATATGAATATAGTATGTGTATCAAGGAGATCCAGTATACTTAAAGAAAACAAAAAAGAGATGCATTGATTCTTATGTATATTCTCACGTATCTGTCGCACGCTATATAACTATTATATATTTATGTATAAAGAGCATTTAAGGGAGTTTGCGCAAGAGGGTGAAGAGAGGATAGCGATGTTGAGAGTACTGGCGAGAAGGAGAAGGAAAAGCGTGATAGATCGACTACTGGCTCAGGAGGAAGTGTCACAGCAGTTTTAAGGAGGTTCACTCGTATGGTACTTGTGTTGTAACGGAGTTTATTAAATTATTGTATGAAGATCTTGAGACGCGGGGAAGGTATCTCTAGAATAGAAACTCCTGTCGATAGGTGCGGTATCGATGTCCTCGAGTAAATTATGAAAATGTTCTGGACTCGTAGGAGCACGGGAGAATGTATGTATGAATGTGCACTGTGGGATGATATCATAAAGTGTGATAGGTGGCTGTGTGGATAATGAAAGGATATGATGAGATTGGGAGGGAGGGGGGGGGTGCGGGACGGAGGAGGAGGACAGAAGACGGATGGACGACCAAGCAGAGGTTGAAGATTTGGAAGAGTGGGAACACACGGTACAAGCGGATTCATGGAAGCACTAAATGGAGATGCACCGTTGGAGTAATATGGGATTAATGGCGAAATTGTAGCTAGAACATTTTTTAAAAGCAGATTTTAACGAAATTTTCATTGTTTATTACTTAACTCACCGTAGCGTTAGGTATTTAATTCTGCCTGCGCGATCACGAACACGATGAGATCACAGTAAGGTTTAACTCCAAAAAAAAATGTACATTATTATATTTACATAAAGAGATATATGTTTCATAGATGAATCGAATATGATTGTGTGTGAGAGAGAGAGAGAGAGAGAGAGAGAGAGAGAGAGAGAG